TGTAGGAAAACTTTAGGATCATGGTTTAAACATTTCTAAACTCCTAGACATGCTTTATATTGACTTTTTAAAAAATGCATTTAAAAAAGGTGATGAGTTATCTTTAATAAGGTCATATTTTTTTAGCTTATATATATATTCTTGAATATCAAATCCACTGCCATTGAACTGATTTTGACCATAGCGACTGTTTAGGAAAGAGTAGAATAGCTTCTTAGTGTTTTTAAGACTGTAAACCCTTACAGAAGCAGACAACCTTATCGTTCTCCCAAGGAACGACTGGTGGATTTGAACCACTGACCTTTCAGATAGTAGCCTAATGCTTAACCCACTGTGCCACAAGAGCTCCTTTGTTAGGTCATGTTGTTGTTTTGATGTTAAGTGCCATCAAGTTGGTTCTGATCCATAGCAACCATAGTTTCCAAGGAGCAGCTGGTGAGCATGAGCCACCAACCTTGTGGTTCTAAACAACTTTACAGTTCAGAGCATTAATTAATTAATTCAGGTTATAAGACTATTAAATTCTTTCAACTTTAATAGGAAGAACTTAATAGACTTTATAACCTAACAAAGTCCTGGTGTGGCACTGTGAGCTAAAGCACTGGACTGCAAGGTTGGTTTGAACCACAACGTCAGTGGTTCAAACTTACCAGCTGCTCCTTGGAAACCCTATATAGGGTCACTATGGGTCAGAACCTACTCAGTGACACTTAACAACAACATTATTCAAAAGATTGGTAGTTAAAACTCACACAAAGGCACTTCAGATGTAAGACGCGGTGAACTGCTTTGGAAAGGTCACAGCCTTAAAAGCCCCGTGTGTGTGTGTGTGTGGGGGGGGGGCGTGGTGCAGCTCTATTTCTGGGGCACATGAGGCAGATATATGATTCTTGGTTGGCAATTTGTTTCTTTCAGAGTTTTATATATGTCATTCCATTGTCGTCTTGACTGCATGGTTTCTGCTGAGAAATCAGAGTTTATTCTTACTAGGTCTCATTTTTAGGTAACTTTTCCTTTTTCTTGATCTAGTCTCAGGATTCTTTCCTTGTCTTTGGTTTTGAAAAGTTTGATTATAATATGTCTTGGTGTTTTTATTTGGGAGTCTCCTCTGTTTGAAGGTCATTCAACTTCTTGAATGATTATCTTTTCTTCTTTTGTGAAGTTAGGAAAATTTTGTTCTGACAACACTATATTGGACAATATTCTTAATGTTTTGTTTTTGTTTTTTGTACTCTTCCTGGATTCCCATCACACATAAGTTATTCCTCTTGACAATGTCTCACATTGTTCCTCTAGCAGATGAATCTGAGAGATATTTTTTTCAAGCTCAGTAATTCGGCTTTCCATTGATTCAATTCTATTTCTTTGCCCTTTCAGTGTATTATCTGTTTCTGAAGTGTTAAACTTCTGGCTTCTAGTTGGTGTATTTGTATGATTCCCTTTTTGTGTGTGGTTTTTTTTTTTTGTTTTTTTTTTTTTGTCTTTCAATTATTTTGTCAGTTGTATCCACAGTTTTGTCTGTTTTCCTTGATTTCATCTGTAGTTTTCTCAGTCTTTCTCACAATCCATTGAAGTTGCCTTATTAGCATCCTTTTAAATTCCTTATCAGGTAGTTCTAATACCATTTCTAGTGTTATATTATTTCTGACTCTGTATTTCGATCTAGTTTGAAGCACTCTGTCTTGTTTCTTTGTGTAAGCTGAAATCGTCTGCTTTCTCCAAAACACTGTGGTGTCATGCTTATATTTAGTTGATGATTGTATATTGGTGTAGTCTCAAGCACACACCACCTGTCTCCTTGTGGATGTGGTAGGTAAGCTTTAGAAGTATAAACTCAGTTTTCTGTTCACTGTTTGTGTAGCATAGTTCAGGTTGGGCTCATGTGCCTCCTGATACAGGTGCTATGCCAGGTAGAACAACTGCTGCACAGGTGGGGGTGCCACTGGCCACTGGGTTGGCAAGGGCAGGGTCTGACCACGCCCCTGGCTACCAGGAGGGCAACTGCACCCTCTGCAGCCAACTTCCAGCCTCATCCTGTGCCTGCAGGTAGCTGTATCACCAGCCACTCATAAGTGCTCAAGACAGCTGTGATATGCCATGCCTACCTATAGTCCTCTTGCTTTTCTTCTCTCTCATTGCTCCTGTTCAATTTTCTCTTCCTGTTGGTACTCTCTGCCCTGTCCTGTGATACCCAGGGTTCCAGGATTACAATCTGCATCTCTTTTACTCGCTCTCTCATGCCTTTGTTGTAGAGGGTCAGCTCAGTGCATCTGCTTACTCTGCCATCTTGCCCTGGACTCCTTGGTTTCTTATGTATCTTCCTACTGAAATCTCACTTGTGTTCTTCCTTCATAAAGATGGTTTCCTCAGTAAGCCTTTAAAATTGTTGATGAAACATTGGTCAGTGTTTTTGTTTCATGTTAACATTTCTGGTGAATGTTCTTTGGTAAGTTTTATTTCTCTTTCCCATATCTTTTCTTATGATGCCTTTTAATGGATCCATTAAAAATATGCCAATTCTATCTTTTATTACATAGGATGGATTTCCTTAGCAGTTTTTAGGAAGTTGCTCCAGGGAGCATAAGTTTTGTTGGTGATTTCTAAAATCTGCTTCCCGGGAGCCAATCCACTCTTCTCCCTGTGTGTCTTTTGGTTTATTTCTATCCAGTTCTCCATGATCCTGTTGTTGTTGTGTGCTATAGAGTTGTTTATGTCTCATACTGATCCTAAGGAGCTCTGGTAGCATAGTGGTTATGAGTCGGGCTGCTAACCTCATGGTCAGCAGTTCGAAACTACCAGTGGTTCCATGGGAGAAAGATGAGGCTTTCTGCTCCTGTAAAGATTCACAGCCTTGGAAACCTTAAGCAGGGTCACTATGAGTCAGAACCGACTTCACAGCACACCACCACCACCACCACACTGATCCTAGAAGACAGAGTGGAACTGCCCCATATCTGGTCTATCATCTGTATAGGGGCAGATCACCAGGTCTTTTCTCCCATGGAGCCACTGTTGGGTTTGGATCCTCACCCTTTGGTTAGCTGAGTGTTTGGTCATTGTACAACCCAGGCTCCTCTATGATCCTACAGCCCTCGTATGCAAAGCTCATTCATCCTTTAGAAGGAGCCCCTTACCTATAGTAACTGAATTTTTACTGTTATCTTCTGAGACCTGTCGTTCCTAAATGGTTTCACTATTTATTCCCACACATACAGCTTTTATTACTCCTCACCTCCCAAGCACCTGCCTCTATCCGCTTTTGATAACTTTTATCCATTTTCTATCTTTAAGTTTTATATGTGGATTACGTTGGTCTCTAGTTTCATCAACACTGGAATTTCCATTTTTCCTTCTTGTTTACTTTGTTTTTTGGTTGTGTTCAGGAAGAAAAAGGGTGAGATTATTGCCTTATGCCACCATGTTTAGACAGAAAATCCTTTAGTTATATTGGGATGAGTGGCATTAAGGATAAAATCAAATAACTTGGGATCTGCAATTGTGGTTCTAATCTAAACTCTGCCACTTGCATCTGATAATGAACAAATTACATTTTTTCCCTGTGATCATCAGTGTTCATCTCTGTAAAAAGGAGTAATTCTCACAAATGTTGTATGTTAAGATAATATATACAGTGGGCCTAGCATACTGTTTAGGAGGGCATTAGTAGGTCTGTAAGGAGCGCTGGCAGTGTAGTGGTTACCAGTCAGGCAGATAACCTCACGGTCAGCAGTTTGAAATGACCAGCTGTTGTGTGGGAGAAAAATGAGGTTTTCTGCTCCCGTAACCAGAACCCCTATGCAGGGTCGCTAGGAATCAGAACCGACTCGATGGCACACCACCACCACTGGTCTGTGGTAGAATTCCTGCCTTTCATGCGGGAGACTCAGGGTTGATTCCTGGCCAGTAAGAATTGGGTTTGATTCCTCACAAGTGTGAGGCTTGTGTGTTGCTAAACTAGACTAGTTTCAGTAGAGTATCTAGATGAAGACATCAAACCCAACACAACCCACTGCAATCAATTGATTCTGACTCATAGTGACTCTGTATAGGGTTTCTTAAAATGTAAATTTATACAGAAGCATAAGGCCTTGTCTTTCTCCCTCAGAGCAGCTGGTGAGTTTGAACTGCTGGCCAGTCAACAGTCTAGTGCTTATCCTACAATGCTGCCAGGCTTCCTTAGACCAAGACATTCTGGGAAAGAAGAGCCTAGTGATCTATTTCTAGGAATCAGTCAATGGAACCCTATGGTGCTGAATCACAAGGGATCCTGGGGATGGCGCAGGACTGTGCAGTGTTTTGTCCTGTTGTGCATGGGGTCACCTTGAGCCAGGGACCAACTCAGCAGCAGCTTACAATAACATAAACCAGAAAACCTTAAACAAGTTGCTTTCAAGTCCTTTCCAATTCATGGTAGTGCTTTGCATATGGTTGTTGTTAAGTGCCTTTGAATTCATTCCAACTCATTGCAGCCCCATATAGGGTTTCCAAGGAGCGACTAGTAGGTTTTAACCACTGGACCTTTTAGCAGTCCAGTGCTTATCCTGCAACACCACACCAGAACTCCTTGCATATAATAAGTGTGCTGAAAGGACAATAGTAAATGTGTCATTGATTTCTTGACATAGGAGCCATTTATGATTACTTTAACCCTCTCTGGATGGCATGATATTACCACTTCCTCATTAATGGTGGGTGCTGCCACTGAGGTCATTGCACTCTCCCACTTCATCCATAATTCTAGCCAGGGTAATAAGAGGAACCGCTTGATTGTCGTGGGGACCCTGGAGAAGGGACACTCACTTTCAAATGGCAGGGGGAAAAGGATAGGATAACATGGGAACAATCTTCAGGAAAATCATGATTTCAGGGGGAAATGGTAGGTACCAGAGCTGGATTGGAATGCTAGCTATTCCCTGGTCCTGATGCTAGAATCTGGGGCTGGGGTAAGCAGGCATGAGACTTTGGGATTTTGCCACATACCCTTTGCTTCCCATCCCCAGCTGGCCTGAGAAACCAAGTGACAAGAGTCCTATCAGTCAAATCTGGATGAGGTCAGATTGGAACTCCTGATGCAAAGGCTTCTTGTTTTGTATGTGTGTCCTCAGGCTCTGGAGTCCCAGGCCACCATGGTCCTCATCACACCAGACAGCAGCAGCTCTGATGTCGTCTCCCTTGGTTCCAGCACCTCCACAACTCAGGCTACTATTGAGCCCATGGATACAGAAACCCAGGAGGATGGCAGAACCTTTGCTGACAGGAGAACAGGAGGCAACAAGAATGCACAGGCAGATGGAAAGATGCAGGTGGAAGGGAGGATGCTGACAGATGGGCAGACACAGGGAGACCGAACACAAACAACACTGAGGACACAAGCAGAGAGGAAGACACAGGTGGACGTTGGGAGCCAAGAAAGTGTGAGGAGACAGGTAGGCAGGAGTTCACAGGAGGATGTGGTGACAAAGAGTAGGGCAGGGGCACAGGCAGAAAGGACACAGGCATGTGAAAAGATGCAAGAAAACAGGAAGACACAGGCAGATGAGAGGACACAGGAAGACAGAAGGATCCAGGGAGAGAAAGGGCCTCAGTCAGAAGGAAGCATTCCCACGACCCTAGAAGGTCAGTCAGAGGAGAAGCTTATGAGCAGCCGCAGCCCACAGTCTAGAGCCCCAGCATCCCCTCCTTCAGAGGGTCCTAGGCCTCCTCAGATTACGAGACACTTTGAGCAGACCCAAGAACGGTCTTCTGTCCCAGAAAAAACCGGTCTTGTGCTCAGCTCTGAAGAGACAGCAGTAACAGCCTCCAGAAACCATGAGGAAACTGTGCTGGGCCCCCTGCCAGGGAGCCTTCCACTCCCAGCACAGCTGCCTCCTGAGGGGAGCTTGGAGCCAATGGGAGGGAAGAGATGTCCAGGGCCACGGTGGTCAAGCCCAGCTCAGCCCAAGCTAAAGAGCAGCTTGTCCCACTGCCCCACGGAAGACCAGCCTGGGGAAGTGCTGTCTGTGGATCTGAGCAGCTGTCCTCCAACTGGCTTGAGCCCAGAGATGCCCAGTACACCCTCTCTTCCTGGGAATAGCTTGACCAGTAGCCCACTGGAGGGGCTGCCCAGCACTCTGACATCTCAGCACACGAGCACTGCTACCTCCCTGCCATCTGAGGCCCAAGGCTTGTTCGGATCTCCCCCCATACCATATGGGAACCTTCATCCGGCAACCCCTACCCAGGGTCACCCACCAGAAACCATGACTGCCAACAGTGAGGGGGCCTGTTCCAAGGTTTCAGATGGAGAGGGTCGGCTCCCAGGCCCCCAGAGCTGTGATCCTGGCCTCATAGATTCCCTGAAGAACTACTTGCTTCTGCTGCTAAAACTCTCTGGCACAGAGGCAAGTGGAGGAGTAGCAGAGCCCCAGGCCTCCTCCTCTTCTCTGGTCCCCACCATGGAAGTGGCTGGCCTGAGTCCTCGGACATCGCGGCGGATCCTGGAGCGCGTGGAGAATAACCACTTGGTGCAAAGCGCGCAGACCCTACTGCTGAGCCCCTGCACCTCCCGCCGCCTCACTGGTCTCCTGGACCGTGAGGTGCAGGCGGGCCAGCAGGCCTTGGCGGCTGTGCAGGCTTCCCAGAGCCCCAGCCCCAGCCCCCTCACTGTCCCTTCCATCGTGGTAGGTGAGGAAGGCCCTGGGCCAGTCTCAGAAGAAGGATCCAATAAGGGTGAGAGTGAAGGAGAGGTTTCCTTTAAGAGTCCTGACCACTTAGGAGCTACCATGGAGAGCAGCGTGAGTGGGTCAACTGGGGAGGCAGGTGGGTTGGCAGGTGCTGGGCAGCAATTGCTCTCAGCAGAGAGCAGAGTCCAGGAGTCCTTCCAAGAGGAAGAGTTTTCAGGGGAGGTTCTGACAGATCTCCCCGCAGCCACACCTGAGGAGCTAGCTCTAGGGGCTCGGAGGAAGAGATTTCTCCCTAAGGCCCGAGCTGGGGGAGAAGGGGAGGCAGCCAAGCCTGAAGAAAGGGAGAGCCCCACAATTTCCCCTCGGGGGTCCAGGAAGGGCCTGGTGCCTGGGTCTTCAGGGACTCCAGGTCGGGAGAGGCGGTCCCCTACCCAGGGCAGGAAGACAGGTCTGCTGGAAGTGCCAAAGATGGAAGAGGAGCCAGCAGCTGGAGACCCAGACACCTGCACCAAGGCTGGTGGGTTGGATGTAGAACCAGCACTGGATGAAGGCAAGCAGGATGCTCCGGCCAAGCCCAAGAAAGACAAAAACCTGCTCAAAGGTAAGCAACAGGGACAGAGCAGGTGGCTTCATGGGGGAAGACTGTCTGGAAGCCACTGAGAACATGGCCTCTGCTAACAAACACTAACAAACACACGGCCTTACTCTTGTTTGTTGTTAAGTGCTGTCGAGTCGGTTCCGACTCATAGTGACTCTGTCTAGGGTTTCCGAGGAGCAGCTGATGGGTTTGAACTGCTGACCTTGTGGTTCGCAGCCCGGTGCTGATCCTACAGTGCCATACCAGGAGTCTTGTTTAGGGTTGGACACACTACCTTTGAAAAGGCCTAATTTAATGATCCAGGATCAATGGAATCTTTTCCTGACTCCGCTACTTTGCAAAATGGGATGAAAACTTTGTAGCATTGTGAGTGTTGTCCAGTGAGAGTTAAATGGGATAGAGTAAATCAGGACTTATCCTGGGCCAGGCCTGCAGCAGCATTTCAGCTCTCCTATCATTATCACCATCACACCCTCCAAACAGACTGTGTCACAAGGCAGGGCTCAGGGCAGGTTTCTAGAGTTAGGGGCTAATGAGCTGTGTTCTTGTTGCCTGTGTTCTCACCTGTGAGGCTTTTCCAGCTTAGAATCATGCTTGGAGGATCAGGGCAGAAGCCTCAGAGATAGAGGGAGCTAGTACGAGACTGGAATCCTATTTTCTCTCAATCCTGGCCCCAGCTCTCTGCCATTGCTTATCCACCTATGAGAAGGGCCAGAGACGCACAGGATGGAGCTGGGCCTCTTAGCTGGATCCCCCTCTTATTGGTTGCTCTCTCCCCCTCCCCCCCCCCCCGCCCCCACTCAGCCCCACAGGTGATCCGGAAGATTAGGGTGGAGCAGTTTCCTGATGCCTCCGGCAGTCTGAAGCTCTGGTGCCAGTTTTTCAACATTCTTAGTGACTCAGTCCTGACATGGGCCAAAGACCAGCGCCCAGTGGGCGAGGTGGGCAGGAGGTAAGCTGACTGGGACCACCTCAATCCTACCTGGTTCTGGAAGCACAGTAATGATGCTGCCCGGCATCATGATTACCCCATGAGGGATATGCTAGCTGTTCTTCCCCAAGCAGAGATGTGACCGTTGAAGCTCTTGCCTAACCTAGTGTCATGTTGGGGTTGGGTGTCTCTCACCTCCCATGCTCCCAGAGCCTGGGTTCTCGGTGGCTTCTGGGGTGGGGATCTGAGGATTCTTAGGGTCGCAGTCTGTTCCGCCCTATGAACCCTGTGCATGGCAGTGACTTCTGAAGACCTTCACTCTCTGCAGTGCAGGGGACGAGGAGCCGGCGGCGCTGGCCATTGTGCAGGCATCCCCGGTGGACTGCGGCATGTATCGGTGCACCATCCACAATGAGCATGGGTCCACCTCCACAGACTTCTGCCTCAGCCCTGAAGGTGAGTGCTCCTCTGCGGGACCTGACTGCCACGGGGTCAGTAGTCATGGCTCCCTCTTGGCCAAACAGCCCCGGAGGCAGCTGTTTTCTTTCTTTCTTTTTCTGCACCTAGTGTTGTCAGGATTCATCTCCAGAGAAGAAGGTGAAGGTATGGAGCCCATGGGGGGAGGAAGAGGAGTGGGTCACTATTCATCCCTACCCCCACCATCTGCAG